TTTTTTTTCCGGGGGGTCTCACCTGCTGCGGGAGGAGCCCGAGGAGGAGGAGGAGCCGGCCGGGGAGGAAGAGCGCTCCGGCTTCTGCGATTGGCTGGTGGACCTGCGGGCGGGGGGAGGGGCGGAGCGGGGTCAGAGGGGGATGGGCAAGGGGTGAGGGGCTAAAGAAGGGGGAGGGGCTCACCGCTTGCGCTTCTTCTCCTTGGCCTTGTGCTTGGCCTTGGGGCTGGGCGAGCTGCGGGAGGGGCGGGGACGTCAGCGGCCGGCCACGCCCACCCAGAGGCCACGCCCACCCAGAGGCCACGCCCACCCATAGGCCACGCCCCCCGCCCCTCCCCCAGCCTGTCCTTACCGGTGCTTTCGCTTCTTGGCCTCGGATTCGGACCTGGAGGGGGAAGGGAAATGGGCGGCGTCAATGAGGCCACGCCCCTTTAGGGGTGAGGCCACGCCCCTTGGTGGGTGAAGCCACGCCCCTTTCTAGGTAAGGCCATAACCAATTAGAGGTGAGGCCACGCCCCTTTAGGGGTTAGACCACGCCCACTTGCTGGGTGAGGCCACGCCCCCTTTCTAGATGAGGCCACGCCCCTTTCTAGGTAAGGCCATAACCAATTAGAGGTGAGGCCACGCCCACTTGGCGGGGTTGGCCACGCCCATTGGGTCCATGAGGCCACGCCCCTTTCTAGATGAGGCCACGCCCCTTTCTAGGTAAGGCAATAACCAATTAGAGGTGAGGCCACGCCCACTTGGCGAGTTTGACCACACCCCTTTGGTAGATGAGGCCACGCCCCTTTTCATACGAAGCCACGCCCCTTTCAGGTGAGGCCACGCCCCTTTCTAGGTAAGGCCGTAACCAATTAGAGGTGAGGCCACGCCCACTTGGCGGGGTTGGCCACGCCCATTGGGTAGATGAGGCCACGCCCATTTCCAGCTCAAACCACGCCCCTTTTGTGGGTGAGACCACGCCCCCTTTGTTGGTGAGGCCACGCCCCTTTCAGGTGAGGCCACGCCCCATTTTCAGGTGAGGCCACGCCCCTTTCAGGTGAGGCCACGCCCCTTTTCTCACCTGTGCTTCTTCTTCTTGCTCTTCTTCCTCTCCCCGGAGCGGCTGGCGGACCTGGGGGGGAGACCCCGAAATTCCCAAAATTCCACCCGGAAATTCCCGGAATTCCACCCCCAAAACCCCAGAATTCCCAAAATTCCACCCAAAAAACCCCAAAATTCTCAAAATTCCACCCAAAAAACCCGAAATTCTCAAAATTTCACCCAAAAGCCCCAAAATTCTCAAAATTCCACCCGAAAATTCCTGTAATTCCCCACATTCCACCCAAAAAAACCCCAAAGTTCCCCAAATTCCACCCAAAACCCACGAAATTCCCCGAATTCCACCCAAAAACCTGAAATTTCCAAAATTCCACTCGGAAATTCCCGGAATTCCACCAAAAAACCCGAAATTCTCAAAATTATACCCGAAAATACCCGAAATTTCTCAAATTTCACCCTAAAAACCCGAAATTCTCAAAATTCTACCCGAAAATTCCCAAAATTTCTTAAATTTCACCCAAAACCCACGAAATTCTCAAAATTCCACCCAAAAAAACCAAAATTCTCAAAATTCCACCCAAAAACCTGAAACTTCCAAAATTCCACCTGAAAATTCCCAGAATTCCACCCAAAAACCCCGAAATTCTCTAAACTCCACCAGAAAACTCCCAAAATTCCCCAAATTCCACCCAAAAAACCCAAAATTCCCCAAATTCTACAAAAAACCCACAAAATTCTCAAAATTCTATCCAAAAATTCCCCAAATTCCATCCAATAATCCCAAAATTCAAGAAATTCCACAGATTCCACACAAAAATGCCAAAATTTCACCCAAGTTCAACGAATTCCACTGGAATTCCCAAAATCCACCCAAAGTCCCCAAATTCCACTCAAGATCAACAAATTTCTCCTAAAATCCCACAAATTCCACCCAAAATCCACAAATTCTTCCCAAAATCCATAAATTTCTCCCAAAATCCCACAAATTCCACCCAAAATCCCAAATTCCATCCAAAATCCACAAATTCTATCCATAATTCATCCCAAATACCCCCTAAATTTCCAAGTCCCCACAATTTAAACCCAAAACCCCCAAAATCCCTGAAAATTCCCCAAAATCTCTCCAAAAATCCCCAAAATCCCCCAAAATTCCCCAAATTCCCCCTCACCTGCCCCGATCCTTCTTCTTCTTCTTCTTCTTCTGCTTCGGGGACGGCGAGCGGGAGCTGGACGGCTCGGGGGCAGCGCTGCGGGATTCGGGGAGATTTTGGGGGATTTTGGGCAATTTTGGGGAGTTTGGGGCATTTTCAGTGGATTTGGGGGAATTTGGGGGATTTTGGGGGGATTTTGGGGGGGATTTTGGGAGATTTTAGAAAAATTGAGAGGATTTAGGGGTGATTTTGGGGGGCCCCCCTCAGGGTTGTAGGGGGTGATGAGGTGCAGGAATTGGGGGTTCGGGGGGGTCCCAGGGCGGGGTTT